CACCATACGGAGCTATTGGAATCATCAAAATTCAAATCCGAGGTTGTTTACACATAAGTCCGCATCCGGTCACTATTTTAACTTAAGCTTTAAACCTTGGAACTAAGTGTTCCAATTCCTTCAAAAACCGCACTCGACCCGAACCAATTGCCCCGGCAATTCACACAACTATAAAGTACAATTTGAGAAGTAAATGGGGAAACGGGGTTGTAATACTCAAAATGACCGGTCGGGTCGTTACATTTGAATAGCTCTGTTATGTCATATATGACTTATATGCCAAATTTGAAGTCATTCCGGATTCATTTAATATGTTTTGGCACAAGTTTTGTAAATTGAAAAGTTTGAAACTTAAATGTTCGAATCGAGGTGTGAATTATAATTTTGACGCTGTTTGACGTGAATTGAAACTCCGAGTANNGAGCCACAGAGCAATTGGAACTTGCTGCCCAGTGCTGGTTCTAGTGTGTCGCACCTGCGACATTTTGTGCGCAGGTGCGTGGTCGCTCCTGCGGAATTCCAGTCACTTCTGCGACATTGGAATGCCCTGTCGAGCTCCGCTTCTACGGAGAAATGAGCGCAGGTGCGAAACCGCATCCGTGATGGGTGAGCCGCTTCTGCGGTCACTAGTGCGCTTCTGCGATGTCGCAGGTGCGACATTTTTGGGCGTAGATGCGACCACTGGACAAGCTGTCCTGTTCCGCAAATGCGGGCTTTGTCTCGCAAATGTGAGGCCGCAGGTGCGAAAATATAGCCCGCAGATGCGAAAATGCTGGGCAGAATACATAAAAATCGGGTTTTAGCCATTTTCACTCATTTTTAAGTTTTAAGTCTCGGATTTTTGGCGATTTGAAGGAGTTTTTCACGACTTTTAATTGGGTAAATGTTCTATAACCAAAAGTTATTATATTTCATGAATCCATGTCTATATTCATCCTTTATTTCGGATTTAGATGGAAGAAATTAAAAAATTTATAAAACTTTCCAAAAACGAAAACTTTAGATTTGAAGGTCCATTTGACATCAGAATTGGATAATTTTTGTATGGTTGGACTCGTCTCGGAATGGGTGTTTTGATTTTATAAGTTTTTCCGAAATTTGAGATGTGGGCCCCATTGTCAATTTATAAAATGAATTTCGGATTTTAATCCCGAAAATTAGTAAATTCATATGGAATTAATTCCTACAATTTGTATTGAGTATACTGAATTATTTATGACTATATTTGAGGACTTCGGACACTAATTCGCGAGGTAAGGGTATATTGAAAACTTGAAATTTGATTTTGAAGCGAGGTAAGTGTCGTGACTAACCTTGACTTGAGGGAATAGAACCCTTAAATTATTTGTTATGTGAATTGCATGTGAACGACGTATAGACGAGGTGACGAGTGCCTATAAATTGTCGAATTAATTGTTTGCATAAATATTTGAAAATCATAAATCATGAATGAATTATTATATTAATTGTTTCACTCATAATTCCTTGTCAAATATTAATTCTTGAATTTCTGTAATAATTGCTACGTGCTTATTTGAATTATGTACATTAATTGCTACTTGACATTTAGCATATTAAATATTAAACTACCTATTTTCTCCCTGATTTCCATAATAAATTATTATTTGTCATTGTTTGTTTCATAATTAAATCATAATTATTGTGTGCTTGTTGTCTTATAACTTTGTATTAATTGTTGTATTTATTGGGGTAATTTCTTCTTTGAGAATTGATAAATGAATATATTGGAGGATCGGGTTGCACGCCGCAACAGAATTGATTAAAATGAATATATTGGATGATTGGGTTGCACGCCGCAACATAATTGATTGAAATGAATATATTGGAGGATCAGGTTGCACGCCGCAACAGACTTATTAAAAAGTCTATATATATACTTGATTAAATAAATATATCGGAGAGTTGAAAATGAATATATTGTGAAAATGGGTTGCACGCTGCAACGAAAATTGATTGAATTAATAATTGATTATGACTGCTGAGTTGGCTTCAACTATTAAAAATGAGTTACCCGATTTATTTCTATTATTGTTGTTTTACTAATATTGTGTATAGGTTAATATAAGTGATTCGTCTTAGCCTCGTCACTACTTCGTCGAGGTTAGGCTCAGCATTTACCAATACATGGGGTCGGTTGTACTGATACTATACTCTGCACTTCTTGTGCAGATTTCGAAGTTGGTCCCAGCGGCGTACCATAAACTTGCTCGGATTTCAACTACTGAGAGGAGACTTGAGGTATAACTGCACAGCGTCCGCAGTTTTAAAGTCCCCGTCTATCTTAATTTAGCTGTGTAATTTCTTCCAGACAGCTTTACTTTATTCAGATCTTTATTTGTATTATTCTAGAAGCTCGTGCACTTGTGACACCAAATTCTGGGATGGTATTTAGACACCGTTGTTTTTATGGATTATTCACTATATTTCAGACCTTACTTCCGCATTTGTTCCTTTGTTATTAATAAATTTAAAAATTATTTTAAAATAGTTAATATTATTCTAACATTGGCTTGCCTAGCAAGTGAAATGTTAGGCGCCATCACGGTCCGAACGTGGAAATTTCGGGTCATGACACAATATATATTGTAGATCAAGAAAATCCTTGAGGTGTCGTTTGGTTTGAAGAGAAGTTATGTTGGGATTAATTATCCTAGTATTATTTCTTATTGATGGTTAGGTATGTTGTATTAATTCTGGAATTGTTGATTTTAGTGTTTTATCCTGGGATAAATTATTCTGGAATAACTGTCAGGTTTAAATTATCCAGATATTAATTTTAAACCAAACAAGAGATAAAATAGTACGAAATTTTTATCGGTATTACTTTTCCTTATCCATCATATCAAATGATCCTGAGAGTGGGCAACTTTCCTGGATACATGATGCAAATTAGTGTAAACACTACCCTTAAAAAGTGTAGAAAATTGTGGTTACCATTTACACAACTTGGCTGAGTTTTTGACTAAAATTATCCCTTATCTATTGAAGTAGGTTCATTTTTGTCCTTCAAATATAACCCAGAGCATCTTTAATCCTTTAACTTTGCTAAAGTAGAGCACCTTTAGTATCACTAACATAACCAACTTAAAAACTAACGGAAATGGCAAATTTTCTAACTGTGATTGTCCGAAACTTCTCAAATGATCTCCTTATGGGTTCTGTAAATTTGATTAGTTCAAAATAGTGACAACCCCAACTTTACCCAAAGAGTAATTAATGTAGGAAACATATCTTTTTAAATTAACTATCATATATAGAGAATTCAACTAACAGTGCTCTCCTTCTTTCTTGATTGAGGCACATTTTTTTTTCTTCTTGCTTCTGAATTTCTTAGGTCAAAATAACTTATAATTAATGTGCATGACTTATCAGAATCAATAGTGCAAACCATTATTTTTTTGTTTACAAAGTTAGTTTAAACTTCATATGCTTAATCATCTCCACTTACTGGACACATCAAAAGCAAAAGTAAAACCCAAATCAAAATAAAGATTCATTGAACTCATCTCCTTCACAGAAAAATATATTAAGTTTCTGATAAATATGTTATAATAGCCCTTTACATCAGTTAAACCAAAATGAAGAGTTACCAAAATCAACTCTTTTACGCCAGTCTTTTAGCGACAAAAAATAACTCTTTCATGCGCATCAAATTATCCCAACCGTCTGTTAGGTGTATCAACCTATTCATATAGTCTTCAACAGCAATCCCAACTCCTTTTCACAAATCTTCAGCAGCAAAAAATAACCTCATACAGCGGCAACAACCAATCCTTTTAAGCAGAAACTTATATATCAAAAAATATATCTTCAGTCACTCTACTTTCTTGAGTTGCTTTTATATGGTCCTGGCTGGAAGGCCCTCTTCTTACCTACAATAAAGAAAAATATTATCGTTACCGTATTATTAATATAATTAAATAAAGTGATATGTGTAATAAACTCATACTAGAAGCTTTACATGAGCAGAAGATGCAGTAGGAAATGAGGATTCTTGTCGCACCGTCTCATCATCATGAGAATCCGAATACACACGATTTAACTTGCAGGTTCTTTTGTTATGACCTGGATTATGGCATAAGATACAATCCAATTTTGTTTGCTTCCTTTTAATTTTTTGTCTACTTGCTCCAACTTCATCAGGCTCTTATTGCGAAGCTTTTGTTTTCTTCCTTTGGTACTTTGTCTTTTCAATCTTGGAGGAAAAGGAGGAACGTTATTCGACTTAGGACATATCTCTTGACCATTCATAGGTAGAATATAAAATGCATAGATCGTTCTATAAGTTTCTATCTTATAACAATCATTCACATATGAATTAATGTCATCATGTTTAGCCCAAATCGCGGCAATGGCATTCTTGCAAAGAATTCCTGTTAGATCCCATTTCCTGCAACTGTATTTTCTATTTAGCAAATTTATAGCCCAGTTGGTCATTATGCTTGCTCCTATTATCTCATAATTCCATTCATTTGACTTCCTGGGAATAAATTCAGCTGCTTTCGCTTGATTTTTGTACAATACATCCTTAATCCTAGGGCAAATATCACCATCATTCCACTTGGCATCTTTATCCCTATTTGCTTGCATCCGTGTCATAAGGTGATACCTTAACTTCTCCAATAAAGTGATAATCGACTTATCTCTAGCCTCAAGATCATGTTATTATTCACACATATTATTGAGTAAGGTATCACATTTCACAGTTTCAAGAAAGTGAGATTTAGACCATTCAATAGGCGACTTCTTCTTAAGCCAATGAGCAGCTTCTGAATCTATATCAAAGATGTTAACCATGCAATCCTCAAACCACTTTACTGTTATAGCCTTTGCAGGCTTCCAAAGGGCATTCCTGAGTGAAATACTACTGAATCAGGCCCTCTGGAAGTTGTTATGGAGGTGTCTCATACAGAATTGATGACTAACATATGGCAATACCTCATTGAACGCTCCAATCAAACCTTTTTGCTTGTCTGACATTAAGGTCCAAGTACCATCATCATCAAGGTCTAAGTCAAGCTTCAAATAATTCAAAAACCATTCCCAGTGCAAGTGTTTTTTTCTTAGCCCTTCTGCATTGTGATAATGTCACTTGAACTCTTAGTTCCACACTAACATGATCTCTGAATACACCGATTGCCCAAGACCTATTTGAGCTTATGGCCTTAAGATATCTTTATGCAATATAAGAAGATGTGATTGCTTTATTACAGTGGTTCCAAATCTTACAATCATGAGTGAGATTGTATGTTCTAATCTGAAATGTTCTATCTCGATGCATTCTTGATGCTAGAATCTCCCATTTACAATTTGGATGACCACAAGTTGCTTTCGCTCTTGAGTTATCATTCTTGCACCACTTAATATACTTTCCTTCATTAACTTCATGAGTTATTACAACATATTTGAACTCATGCTTATTTTCAAATGTCAATTTTAATGCCAACACTAGTTTATCCCCGTCTGTTTTAGGATTGAACATCGGAAAGTTGAAACTCTCATTGTCAGAGTCACATTCTAAACTCTGTGTATCATCCGAGTCAACACAATCTGTATCACCTTCTTCAGCAGTCATTTTTTCTTAACTTCTTCACTAACTTCATGTCTATGATTCACATTTTCATTATCATCTGAAAAATTATTTTTTGAGTCTTCAAATTCATCATCAGTCAGAGAATGCTCGCTATTTACTTCTTTCTCTTGTTCTACTCCACCAACTTCATTAGTATGTGTAGTTTTTGCAATATATGAATCAAGATGTTCAAAGTATAATTCAACCATCTTATGATCTGGAATATTTTTGGATATAACAGTGGCTTCTACATCAGTAGAAACAAGTCGCATTCTATTCCCGTACCTCCCGCACTTGTGCCAAAAAGTAACAGAATCTCTCTCATAACCACATAGTTCTGCCATGGATTTGAATTGCGACAGATTCAACTCCGTATAGTTAACATAATCAATAAAATCTACACGTCCCCCAAGATAATATCTGCTAGGTTGATGCTTCATCGTACCACCATGTGTTACTTTTACACTGAAAAAAATAGCTTCGTATGCAGGGTCTACCAAAAAAAAAAACTTATGTTAGGGCTATATGATAAGAGCTAATTGAAGTTGTCATGTGTTATATAATAATCATTAAATAAACTAAAGAATGAGAAATTGAATCAACATACACTAAAAAAAAATCACAATTTCTTCAGTTTGATGAAAATCCAAATAGTATTTCTTGCTAAAATCTTACCATAATTGGGTATTTCACTACCATGGCATCTAATAATCATTGCTGGAGATCAATAAATATGCTTCTTCACTTTGAGTCCTCTTCTTGTTTCAGTCATCGAAACTTTTTTGAGAGTAGGGTTTTTGGTAATGGGTTTCTTTGCCGATGGATTTGGGGAAAAGTGTGAATGGAATTGGTCATCTTTTACTGGTGGGTTTAGTATTTTACAAAGTTACGTGAGTGTCACATGGGTTAGCACCTTTAGTTTTTAAGTTAGTTCGGGTAGTGACACCAAAGATGCTCTACTTTAGTAAAGTTAAAGAATTAAAAATACTTTAAATTATATTTGAAGGATAAAAATAAACTTACTCTCATAGATTAGGGAGATAATTTTAGTCAAAAACTCCAACTTTGCTTAAGCAAAAGTTTCACATAAATGAGTTGTAGCGTGAAGGAAAAGAATTAAAGGTTTCGTACTCGAAACTTTGAGAATAAAAAAATGCTGAGTCAAAAACTAAAAGAAAAAAAAACCTTTGTTTTCCATTGCTGTTGCTCTTTTCCATGTGAGGCCGAAATGATATTGGGGAGCCCTCAATTCACATGACATGTGTATTAATTCCAGAGTGGCTTTTTGTCCATTCTCTTGTCATTTCATTTCAAAATTCCATACATAATTACCTCTTTTTTCTTTTGTACAAAGTGGAGTGATTTTTACACCTTTTATTACTCTTTTGCTTGCTTTGCCTTTTCTCTTAGACCTACTGCTGCTCTTCAAAGTCCCAAAAAGGCCAAGCACTTGCCATGCCAGGCCTGCAATAATTTTCAGACCTTTCCAGAAATTCCTAGAGGAGTAGGGACCACCACAAAGCCACAACATAGAAAAAAGCATCTTCATTTCTTAGTGGAGACACGTGGCAACATGCATGTCGTTGGCTGCAATAATCAAGAAAAAGATAAAGTGCCCAAAATGAATGAAATACAAAGTCATCCCTTAATTCACAAAGTTCGCATCTTTACCTACATTAATAATTATATTGTTAGTGCAATTTCACCTCCAAAATTATTCTGTCTTATTTTTTAACTTACCATTGTTACTAACCATGAACAATTACACTAAATATAAAGTGGTTTTTCAAGATTTATTGTTGTGTGTCCTGCATATTCGATTATGGTTGTCATTGTAAAGCTATAATTAAGGTCTTAAGATCTTATAGACTAGCTGTCGGTACTGCACATCTACACACAAAATTCAGTATCACCAGGTCCATGACGGAGACAATGAAACTAGGCATTTTATCGGAAATTCCATTCAAAGCTTATAATGTGAAAATTATAAAGAGAGAATAGAGGGAGGGAGGATCCAAGTCCAAGATTCAGAATTAAAAAGAAAAACATCACCAACACTACTCATACAAATAAATACACATCCAAGGCTCCTCTTACACTAACATTAAGGATTAAAACTATTATAAGCAATACATAAAAAGTAAAAGGGAGAGTTCCATAGGTTCCTCTTACACACATAGAATCAAATAAATAAACAAAGATAATTTGGACAGATGAATGCAATTCTTTTTCCACTTCTTTTCTTTTTTCTGGTAGTGGTTGCAAAAGTTGTTTTAGTTGGTTGGGTTACTGCGGAAAGAACCCAATGCCTTAATTGCTGAACCTCTCAAGATATACTGATGATATACTGCTGCTACCAATGCTCCCACAAATGGTCCAACCCAGAAAATCCACTGCAATCACATATATCAACACAATTATATCAGTTTTAAGTCATTTTCCCAAAAAAGATTTACAGGATAAAATCATTTCTTGAGAATTCACATATGGTCGAAAGTCACTTTACTTACAATTATCTTAACTTTCGACTTTATATTACTTGCTCAAACTAATATTTAGACATTATTATTAGTGGGCGTTTGGGCTTGAGAATTGTAAAATTCCGGAAAAAAGTAAAAAAAAAAAAAAAAAAAAAAAAAAAAAAAAAAAAAAAAAAAAAAAAAAAAAAAAAAAAAAAAAAAAAAAAAAAAAAAAAAAAAAAAAAAATTAAGTGAAAATTGTATTTGAAAATTAAAGTAGTGTTTAGCATGAATATAATTTAGGGTTGTTTTTTAATATTTGTGAGTGATCTGAGTGAAAATTTTGATAAAAAACTTTTTGAAAATTTTCAAAAAATTCCAAATGGTCAAACACTATTTCGAAAAAAAGTGGAAAAAAGCCAAACGGGCTCTTAATCTTAGCACTCAAAAATATATTTTTTAAAATTTTGATGAAAGAGCTTACTTGATCATCCCAGATTTTTTCAGTGTTGTAAATGACAGCAGCTCCAAAGCTCCTAGCAGGGTTAATACCAGTTCCAGTAATAGGAATAGTAGCCAAATGAACCATGAAAACAGCAAAACCAATTGGCAGAGGGGCCAAAACCTATCAACATCCAAGAAAATTAAAATACCCAATATTAGTAACCATAATTTTGTATTATATGAATGGGAGCTTAGCATAACTGGTAAAGTTGTTTCCACATGGATTCGTGAAAATAACTTCATCCAAAAATGCAGGTTAAGGCTGTATATAATAGACCCCACGTAACGGGATCTTAGTACACGGGACTGCCCTTTTATAATTTTGTATCATATTTTCTTGAACAAAAAAAGGAGAGAAATTTAGTAACACATAAGCTACTTACAGGGACATGGGAGTCACGGGCACTTCTTTTAGGGTCAGTAGCAGAGAAAACAGTGTAAACAAGAACAAAAGTTCCAATAATCTCAGCACCCAAAGCTGTGCCCTTGTTATAACCAGGTTGCACAAAATTAGCACCACCACCTAATGTGTTGTAGTAATGTTTCATGAAACCTTTCACTAAACCAACACCACAAATTGCACCTAATGACTGTGCAATAATATATCCCACTGCTCTTAACAATGACACTTTTCTTGCTAAGAACAACCCAAATGTCACTGCTGGGTTAATGTGTCCACCTGCAGCACACAAAAAAGAAGAAAAAAACCACAAAAGTCAGTTCTTTTCTATTTAACTGGAACACATAATTTTTTTTTTCTGGAACACATAATTAAGTATACATAAACAAGAATTTCAAAAATGCATATACTAAGGGTCCGTTTGGCCATAAAAAAATATACTTTTTTCTGAAAAATTTTCATTTTTTTTTTCGGAATAGTGTCCGAAAAGAAAATTTTCAAATTTCACAGAATTTTTTTGAAAATTTGAAAGTTATTTTTCAAAATTTTCACTTCAAACGACTTTGTAAAAATTCAAAAACAGTTTCAAATTATTTTCATGTCCAATCACAACTCTAATTTTCACATATCATGAAAAAAAATTCACTTTTATCCAAAATTTCACAATTCTTATGTCCAAACACCCACTAAAGTTCTAAGGTTACTCCATACAAACTTTAATGTTATCATGCTAAAATGTTACACCATACGTACCATACGTATTTAAGACAACAATTTCTAAGATACTCTTGGTCTGTGCAGAAGTATTTCTATCTTTCTTATATGTCATAGCTAATCAAACACTACAGTATAAAATGAAAGATAGTCCCGATGTATTAAGCTGCCGCTATACGCAGGGTCCATAGAAGGTCCGGTAACACAGGTTCTATCGTACGCAACCTTATCATAGTAAAACGAAAAGAAGAGAGTAATATTATAGGTCACACTCATATATAACTAACTTAAAATTCTAGAACAGTCTCGAAAAAGAGTTAAGGGTATAGTAAATTTACCAGAGATACCGGCAGTGCAGTAAACAAGAACAAAAATCATGCCACCAAAAGCCCAAGAAATACCAAGAATACCAACCCCATCACATTTATCAGCACCATTCAACTTCTTGTGACCAATTACAGTTGCAACAGTGACGTAAAGGAAAAGAAGAGTAGCAATGAACTCAGCAATAAGAGCTCTGTGAAAAGACCAGAGCTTGAGTTCTGCAAAATCAAGCAAAGGAGCTGGTGGTGGGTCCACGTAATCCTTCCCGTGCTGTTGATGAACTTGTCCTTCTTCAATCACGTCCTTTGACATTTTTTCTTTCTTCTGATTTTCTGAAGAAGATGAGTTAAAAGTGATTTGTTCAGAGAAGGTGATGGGTTTTGGTGAGCTTTTATTGAGAGTGGAGCAGAGGATTTATGGATAAGATAAGGGTACTATGGGAATAGAATTTTGTATTTGAAAGAAAACATAAAAGGAATAATTACACTCTTGATCCTTCAACTATTGATAAAAGTTGATTTTGATTCTTATGATATTTTACTCAATAAATTTGACTTTGAATTAATTAATGTGTGAATTTTCTGATCAGTTTCCAAATGAAATATGTTATACTTAGATCATATTTAGAATAATATACTCCTCAATATGGAGGATTAGTATAAAGTTAACATTACACAAATGGTAATTAAAGTGCGTCCAGCAAAACTCCTTTTTCATTTATTAGGTGACTAAGCTAGCGTTTCACCATAGATTTCCAAATTTGTTCTGAAAAATCTGATTTGGGTGAAGTTTGGTTTGAAGATGAAAATGTGTTTGGACATCAGTTTTCAAAACATATTTCCCAAATTTATTTTGGAAAAATATAAAACATGACTTATACTCACAAGTTCTAAAAACTATCACAAATACCCAATAGTACCATTATCAATAATATTATTATATTATCGCAAATTATAGTTTTGAACATAAATAAATTTGATACAAAATTATCATTTTTATAATGAACTACATGATACACTATCAGGTGACCGAGAAAACGAAGCAACATTGTTACAAAATAATAAATGGTGGGCTCTTTTATAAAATATAAAAGTTTGGGGCAATTTTTAAAAAATATAATAGTGATATTTTGGTCCAAAATCAGCTATTGGGCTGGTTTTGGGATTTTGTCAAAATGTGGGCAAAATCTATGGCCAAACATGTGTTTACCAAATAAAACCCAAATTTATTTTGCCAAAATCTATGGCCAAACGGGTCCTAAATCTTATTTTGAGGCTTTTTTTCAAAAGTATTTTTCAAAAAGTGCTTTTTGTGAGAATCAATTTCTGTTTGGCTAATTAATTTAGAAATCACTTTTGAGCAGTAATTAGTTTTTGACCAAACTTTTGAAAACTGCTTAT